CTCTATCCTCCTTTGTAAAGCTGCTGCATAGCACATAACAGGCAGTACAAACACGAAAAAAAATAGTGCTGTTGTCATGATGAGAGCTTTCTGAACACTCCTTATTATAATCACATGGAATAACTCAGATGTTTAAGAGTTCAGTGTTGTTATACAAAGCACTACAATGGAATATCCGGCTCACAAGGCTACAGTTGCTCATGTATTTCTAATCTGAAAAATACACATTATTTAGCAATAAGGATTGATAAACTCAAATGAATATAGCTATTTTTAAAAGTTACTGAATGTTTGGACATAAACATAAATATAATAAATTAAGAAATAAAATGGAGCCAAATGATATGAGTTTCTTTCAATTAACTCAGAAAAAATATCCTTAAAAAAAAAATAGAAATACTACTTTCTTTGTAACCAGGTTGACTAACAGAACGGAGATCCACCGAAGGAAAAAGCTTTTCTGAAGTAAATAATTTCAAAACATCTAAGGAGCTTGAGCTTATCTGTTAATTATTCATGTTTCTGCTTTCATTTTCAACCACTCTGGAGATGCTGATGCTGGCACTCTCTACTAAGTTTAAGTATCCTTTCAGCTCAACTCTTCCAAATTAAACTGTCACTTCCTATTAAAAGAAAAAAGTCTATTGGAGGAAGTTTTTAATCTTCCGATTTGTACTTTGTAATCGGAAGTCAAAGTTTAAATTAGGACAGTATGAGCTTATAAAATAAAGCCTAAGCAGTATACTGACAACCACCAGTGAAGAACTTCCTGGCTTACGTTAAAGTGCATAGTAGCGCAGTTTTATTTTTTATCTCCTTTGAAGTTTTATTTTACTAAGTCTTGATTCAGTCTCACACTCTTATTTAAAGTAACATTACCCTTAAATTCTGATGGAATACAAACTGAGATTTTAAACTAAAAGAGGGGATAGATTAGATAATCAGGAAAATATTTTTTACTCAGACAGTGATGAGGGACAGGAATAGGGTACCCAGAGAAGGTATGGATGCCCGAGTCTTGGAGATGCTCAAGGGCAAGTTGGCTGGGGCCCTGGGCAGCCTCATTTATGGCTGTGGCAACATTGACACAGCACAAAGGTTGGAACCATATGATCTTTAAGGTTCCTTCCAACCCTAGACATTCTATGATTCTATGGTTCTACAAGCAAGTGTCTAAACTGTGCCTATTTGCTTATCCATGACACCTGCAACCTGTCTGCCTTTCAGTGTGTTAACCAAAGTTCTGTTGAGTTAGTATTTCCTTATGCAAGCTGCTACACTTCAAACGGTCATGAGGAGCTAAGGGAAAAAAAAAATTTCCCTGTAAGAGCTGAACCAATGTTATTAAGAAAACAGGTTTATACAGTACACCTTTTTCCCCCTTTTTTGTTGCATTCTTATGCAAAAAAAAAAAGAATATATTATCAGTCCTCTTTGTTTCTCTTTCATACCATCTTTCCTTGACACATTTTTTTTCCTTCTAAGCCTTTTTTTTTTTTTTTTTTTTTTTTTCCTTCTCCAATGCTAACACTATTTTCCATCATCATTTTCTAGTCCTTCTTTTCCTCTGTTTACCCGGAGTTCATTCTGGTAGAGATGAAGAAAATTTGCTCACACAACATGCTTCAAATAGGGAAAGTGACTTCAACATGGGACAACAAGAACTTATTTTAGGGTTACCAAAACTTAATGGCTCAAAGTAACTATTTACTACAATCACTAAGACTCTCAGCATTGTCCCATCTCATGAACTTCGAGACCACATTTAAAGTTTAAATTGCCTGTAAAAATGATCTTGCTACGCAATCTTTGTGTTCTCGCTTGAAATTTTGCTCCCATGCTTCCTTTACCATAGGGATCATAGAATCAGCAAGGCTGGAAAAGACCTACGAGATCATCCAAGTCCAACCATACACCCATCAGCAATAGTTCTCATTAAACAACGTTCCTCAACACAATGTCTAAAAGTTCCTTGAACATCCCCAAGGACAGTGACTCTATCATCTCCCCGGGTAGCCTGTTCCAACAGCTGACCACTCTTTCAGAGAAGTTGGATTTCCTAACATCCAACTATCAGTAGATGGCTAAACCCCCTTTCTGTCCCTGCATGCAAAAATATGCTGTATTTCACTGCAGCTAACAATTACAGCAAGAATCACGTGTTTCTTCAAGACAACTCTGAAGACAAAACCAGGAAAGATATCATTGAGGAGTATATATAAGCTGGCTATAACAGTCAATACAGAATACTAGGAGCTTTCAAAGAGGATAATTAAACTGATTAAAAGTCTGATTTACACAAAGATTTTAGAAAGAACTACTGAAGTGGTCATTCTGCAGCATGATGTCCAAAGTATTGTCAGTTATATTTTATCATGCTGGTAAGGTCAAACCCATAAGCAACGCTAATGCTTAAAGTGAAGAGTATCATTTTTTAATGTACTTCCAGTGTTGAAATTTAATTCATGCTTTATAAACTATAAGTTTGCTGGATATCTATTCAGCCTAAAATAAACAGTGACAGCCTTATATTTTTAAGATCAAAACAGAAAGAATCCATCTCTTTTCTCTGCACCAGTTAGATCTTACGCATAGAATGGGTGGTGTCCTCTGAGCATACGGAATACAAATGTGGTACAAAAATCTTCATATTCCTATTTCTCAGATTTTTATAGATAAAAAAAACCTACCTACAGAAGGCAGTGCTAAAGACCAGCTTTTAATGAATGAAATGGAAGCTTTGAAAAAAATAATTAGTAAACTTGATTTCATATGGCTTTTATATTATATCCATTTATCTTCATTTAATGGCTAAAGCTCATAATCGAAGCTATACTTTCTTTTGAACTTATGTTCATAAGTTTCTTGCATTTACAGTGTAATTACTACATTAGGCATCTAACAAGTAACTTTTTCCCTCTCAATGGGCTTTACAGAAAGACTTTATTATTAGAATTAAGCATCATAACTGATAAAAATATAAAAAACTATAAATGCAGCCCTCTCAAGTCAAAATAAAAATTCATTTCATCATCTGTCTTCTATCAGTGCTAAAAAAAATCCTCTATGAAAAAGTACAGGGGCATGGCAACACACAGTGATAATTCCTGAAGACGTTTTTCCAATCCCTAATAATTCATGACTTACAGATTATCTGAGCCAAACACTCCATTCTACTTCCAACAGTCCTCAGACAATTTTTCTTCTAATGTATGTAGATGCTTTTTGAATGTACGCAAATTCTCAGTCTGCTCAAAATCTTGTTGCAAAAAATTACACTGATTAACTATGCAGTGTGAGGGAGTATCCCTTTTCTTCCAAATCTATGGATTGCTACTTCATTTGAGATCCTCTAGGTACCAACTTATTGTTTTCATGACTTCATAGACCTATTCTCTTTCTTCTCCCCAGCCTATTTCTTAGTTTTCCAACCAGAAAAGATCTTCATTTAAGATCTTCTACCTGCCTTTTACCAATCTTACATGATCATACTCCTTTTCCTCTTATCGCTTCATTACCAGCATAGTCTACTACTACTGACAGTCACCGAGTTTAAAAAGCAAAAATCAACAACTGACTGAAGAGAGTAAAATACCGGTTGTCATCATCAGTAGAGCAAATGGTAAACAATGAAGTCAACATAACCATACTCTCCCTCCTCTTTTTTAAACCACATCCACTTCATTCCCTTGGCTCATATGAAAAAGAGCCCTCCAAAAATTGCACCAATTGTGAAGTAGAAATTAAAATTACAGAGATCATCAGTAGTTAAACACCATAACTATTACCAGCTACATTTTCCATATTGAAGCAGCACAAATGGAGCAGAAAGTCACTATATGAGTTACACATTATTAAATTTAATTATTCAACACTAAAAAGAGTGTTTTCATCAGGAGATTTAAAGAATACCATTTTCAAGAAGGGAGTAATTTAAGATTTGGTATTTTATTCAGTATCATTAATTAGCTAACTTAAAATACATGAGTGGGTAAGATGTAAGATACTTCACAAGAAGTAATGGGAAAAGAAAGTAGCTGGTATGCGTTCTGTGAGGAACCTAATTCTGCCTTTCTAAGTAAATGTAAGAAAAGCAAACCTCATGGAACCAAACTTTTAATTTCTGTGTTGCAGAGGCCCAGCCAGGAACCAATCACTCCAACAGCAATGACTGTGAGCATGCCTAACTCTGCACTGTAGGTTTCAAAAAAAAAACAAAAAAACAACAACAACAAAAAAAAAAAAAACATCAAGACTCAGAGAGGTGACCTGTATCCTGATGCTCAAACTGAGTTTGTGACAAGCAGTGTGGATTTGGTCACCGATTTTGGACTGGTATTCCAGAGTTAGCTTGGCTTTCTAAGCGATTGCTTTTCATGGATGTGGTTCATATTATTTAAGAGTCAGTAACAGTTCTCCTAATATTTCACTGAATTAAACTGAAACAAAACTTCCATAATCTCAGTAGAAAATAACTTCAAAACTTACGCTTTACCCACGTTAGTAATCACTGACTGGAGAAGATAAAAATCAGTGTTTAAGCACTGTGTGTATTTTAAGGTCCAAAAATTCAGTGAAAGATGATAAAATGAAAAATACGGAGGAAAAAAATGAAAAGTTATACTATGGGTGGGCAGGAGCCATCAGGAAGCAAGTTACTCTGGCCATTTTTACACCACCCACAAAAGCAGGTGAAAAGCTGTGAAAGCACATGATAGGAGGCACACGATCGGACAGCTTTTAATGGACTTCCAGGTAGGCTGAAAATCAAAACTAATTTTATTTCTTAACTGGAGACCTGGAAACTGTTTCTGAATATTTTTGGCATAGAGATTCCTACCCTGACACAAACTGCCCTCACGTTTAACTGTCACTATAAAAAGTAATTTTCTTCATGTTCTGTTACCCATACTTTGATGAGCCTTTCCCTGATGATAACATCAAATGACAGTTGTAGAAAGAAATTCTTCTTTGAACTTCGATGAAGACAGATCACTTACCTTTGTTGAAGAGTTTCAGAGATTACTACCTTAGATTTCAGCATACTTCTGTCCCCGTAAATTACATGCAGTATTTTACTCATGCCAGGTAAAAAAATAATTATCTTCTTTTTAAAATTTACCTAAAAGAATACATTAAATTATATTTTGAAAATACATTAAGAGTAGAATATACACATATAAGGATATACTTCTGTAGAAAAACTATCAGATATTTTGATGCTTTGAAGTGGGAATTAACTTACTGTTCCCTACAGGTAGCCTGTGCAAAAGGTTTAGTAGTCAAAATTAATTCACATAGCTTATTGATCTGCAAGCTATTCTAAGGATTTTGAGGCTATATGTGAGTTGCGAGAAAAGTATTTGTCCCAACAAACTTGTGGTTCTGTCACATTTATAGCTCATCTTTCTCCTCCTAAATTGAAAAAAAACAGAGGTAGCAATGTAGATAAGAGATAACACTATGAAAGCATAATTGCAAGTGTGCTGCCTTGTTCTCTCTGCAAGCAGTTGCAATGAGAATAACAACTACATAAACAAAACAAGAACTTGGATATTCAGGGGAAAAAAAAAAAAAGAAAAAAGAAAAAAAATCATACAATGAAGTAAATGTTGCTATGTAACATAAATCTTTCTGTAATTCAATCAGTATCTACCTCATCCAAATTCTCAAATTCAGAGATTTGTTAACTGTAACCTCAAAACAACACCATAAAGAAATTACGTGTCATCAAACTATATTATATAATCCACAAGGCCTATTTTAATTGCTATTTACTTGTGCTACACCACTGTGGGAAAAAGCACAAGTCTGAGTTAATTTGCGATAGAGCAGAGCAATGAAAAATAAGATCTAGTGTTTCATTTATCATACCATGTATCTGGGACTCTGTGAATCCAAATATTCGTCAGTTTGGAATTTAAAGGAATTAAAATAGTCCAAAATCCATACCCTGTGGAAATTTTTGGAGCTGTCTTGTTTAATTTTTTTTTCCCAAGTGAGCTTTACTGCCACTTCTACAGTGAGACAAAAGGAATGTTTTAAATGAATTGGCTCACTTTAATAAAGTAAAACTATTGTGGACAGAAGGAGGACAGGCCTCCACAGGATATGCATGAAAAAGGACTTTTAACAGAGTTTTGTAACTATTTAAACCTGCATCTTTTTTACTCACAAACTATATTATAACACACTGCAGGCCAATGAAAATCTGCTTAAAACCTCAGAACACTTTTATAGATGCTATGCTGAAACCTTGTTCAATCACTGTGATCAAACTCATGGGAGTTAATGACTGCATCAAATGTTCTACCTGTGAAAGATTTAAAGATATTCTAGTTTTTAAATTCTACACATAGTATAATGTTAATCCTGCCCAAACTAGTAGAATCTAATTAGAAAAACCTAATGATTTTTCACATTTCTCTAATAAATATGAAACAAGTCTTAATTTGCTCTGCAGTGTTTACAATAACTTTTCTTCACATTGCAATCTCTTATATTCAGTTTCCAGATTTTATGTCTGGATAGATTTGATAAATAAAATCCATTTCATTGTACCTACTAGAGTTACATCCTGAACTAAACACAGAAGGAGTTACAGAACCCAATCCTCAGCAGAAAGGAGAGGAAAAAAAAAAAAAAAAAAAAAAAAAAGACAAGAAGGAGGAAGAAACAGAAAATATTAGGAGCAGTAAAATTGTCTGGAGCTTTTTGGCAGCATAAACCCTACAGATCTGCAATAATGAACTGGAAAAGAACCTACAATAAGTTATCCACCAATCAGGGGTGCGTACAGGATAAATAACATTTATTCCCAGAATTCAAAGTCAAATTCTGCTCTTCCATAGGTTTCACCAGGAAGGTAAGTCAAAACAAGTACATTAGTGCCACCCTAAGCATCTTCCTGCTTCTTAGGAGCATGTCAGGGAATAAATAATCTGTTAGGTAGATCAGTAGTAGAAAAAAAATCAGATTCATAAAACAAAAAGGCAGCGAGTTACGTCATTTGAGGAACACAAAAGGAAGAAACGCCAACTCCTCTACTTTAAAACGCAATATTGCTCTTATGATTCAAGCATATGCAAGAGTTTCTGGCACTGAATAACTAAATACTTCTGCAAGTACCCAAGCATCAAGACTGAAACTATGTAAACTTAGTAGCATTTTGAGACTGCATAACTTCCTCTGTTTTTATAAGAATACAAGGATAAAATAACTACACAGAAATTAATTATTTTTATTGCTTTTGTTGTACGTATTACACAATGTTATTTAATTGCCTTCCACTCAATACAAAAATCAACTAATTTCTGTAAGTAAATCTCATCATTTCAAAAACATCTGCTTGAATATTTATAGATTAATTGTAGAATTATCGAGGGCATTATTCCTCATCTTAAATGTAAGGCATGTTGCTATAAAAGTTTAGATACTTCATAACTTCACCTCTTCTAAGTCAACTAGGTCAGTAAGTACAACCGGGAAGACCAAAAACAAGATTTTTGAAGATGCATTCTTTTCTTCCTAACACAACTGAGAAGCATGACTTCTTGACCCATAATAAGTAGTCACAGTGGAAAACACTTCTTCCACTTCCTTTAAAGATAAATAACATTATCATTTCTACCTTCCAGATGAGTATGACCAGCTTTATTTTTTAATTTGAGAGTAATTTCAGAATGTTTCTTCACATTATTATATTTGTGATACTAACACCTTGGATTTTCTACTTTTAATGTTTCTATTTAATACAAGTTATGAGGCTAACTCTTCAGAAAATCATCTTAAGGAAAGGCCAGGGTACAAATAAAATGTGTGAAGAAACCGCTCTCATATTTATCTTAACTGCCCAGCAAAATAAATAAATAAATAAATGTTTGCAGACCAATTTATTTCATTAATTTAAACACTCATTTGTGTGAAGCAATTGCTTCCAAATTTGTGGTTGTGGCCAAAGCTATAATACAAGTAAAACTTGCACGGGTAGGGAATCACAACAGTCTTTTTTAGAACAGGAGGGCAAAGCCACTTTTTGAACAGCAGCAAACCAATTTTTATCACATGTTCAATTCTACATAATTAATTGAAAAGTTTAAGTTATCACACAAAAACAAAATCAGACACGCATTAATTGGTTAATAATAAAATAGAAAAAAACTAATAATTAAATTCTAGGCCTCCAATAGCATCACTTCTTACCATCAGGGGATGGTAAGAGTACTGTGTTACTCTTCCAATTGCTTGATTTATTTGGGGACTAGAGGAGCACACATAAGGTTGTATCATTCTGGAAGGATAGGTAGCATAAACTTTAACCATCAGAAAAACACTGGTACTGTTTTAAAGTTAAAGCTGGGGTAGCAATGCAGCCACAATGAAAGAGACAGAGCAATTATGGATACCGTTATAAAAGTCATCCAGCTCATTAACCGTATGAATAGCAGAAGGAATTTGAACTAATGGATGAGCTCAGGTTGCTCAATTTTATTATGTTGTTTGCGTTATAGGAATCAATTTACTGCAGGTTATTTTAAGATGAAGCCTGCAGCCAAAACGATTGTGGCCTTTCACAATTTTGAGTATTTATCCCTCTGCGTATCTGCCACATACATGCCCTCCAATCAGTAAAGGTTGTGGCTGAATATAACAAAGTTATTTTTCTCCCTCAGGACTCAACTGTTCCAACTCCTTATGCCAAAAATAGAAAACCTGAGTCAAAAATCAGAATCCCTGTCCTTTTGATGAAGGCACAGAGTCACTGAGACAGTGAATTATTTTAGGTATCTCTGACACTTGCATCAGCCAAATAGTACCTGGCAAAACAGCAGTGTGCAGGGATATTCAAGCTGCCTAGTTTGATGGTAGAAGCAGTACAATTACACTAGCACGGTATTCTGTGTTAGTATTCCCTGCTTGGATCAGAAATAACTCAATCTCTGTGCAATAATGCTTTACAATGCCATTTGTATTCTCTTTATCTTCCTTTAGAGGTTTTCACTGAATGAGCTAATTCATTCCCATGTTCACAACTACATCCTTTTCTCTGGTGACTCACAGGCACACAACCAGTTCTGACACATTTTCTTATATTCAATTCAGTATATCAACATCTTTTTCTGACATCTCCCCAGGGATATGTTTATCATCTGGAATTTGAAAAAGGTCTAGACACTGAATTCAAATGGAAAATGGGTATGTCACTGCATCAATATTAAAGATGCAGAAATCAAAACAGCCCTGATTCTTACTTTTGTTTGAAAATCTTCATCTACTAGTTCCCTATTTGTGGGAAAAGAGTAAAAGGTTTTGTATCAGAGTTAGAAAATTAATCTTTATGTAAATACTTGATATGTGTTAAACAGTCATGGAGCTGACTCTGAAAGAGCACTACTTAAACTGTGTGACCTGATTTGACTAAATTTAACGATATTTTCCAGTTTAGGTCAAAGGGTATGTTTCATTTTAAAAGAAACAAAAAAGGTTTGATTTCAATCTATCTTGTTCCTTTTGGGGGAATATCCACTTAAAATCCTGCAGTATCACGCTGAAACGTAGAAATAATCTTCCATCTTTAGCCTCCATTTGTGCCTTGAATCCCTATTGATTATTTACCACTCTCAGTTGGTAACAATGTACTACAATGCACAAGATTGTTATCTATCCTATTAATACACAAATAAGTTCATAGGGTCAGAATCTTAATTTGGAAGAACGTAACAGGGAAGTCCTGTTATAGAGGATCTACCTGCATTTATATGCTCACAATGCTTAAAATAGATAGGACAATATTGTTCTAAATTTTTAATCATATGTGAATATTGCTCCACATATGATTAAGTTTCAAATCACATATTTTGTTAACTGTATTTATGAAAATGCACAGATAAATAATTAAGGGCCACAGTATGTTGAAATGTACAATTGCTAACAATTATACCTTTTCTTCAAAGAAAATGACTTAAACCAGAGTTTACAGATATTAATACTTATCATGGAAGTTTTTCCAATTGAAGTGATAAAGACGATTTCAGTCGAGTTCTAGCTTTTCATGGGATTA